TGTATTTCCTTCATCCCAATGTCTGCATCTATCTCTAAACACAGAAAGTTTTCAGATAGTATTTCATGAAAGAGAATTTCTATGACCCTACCGATTTCTTCTCTTGGAATACCCATTATATTAATACTCAGTTGCTATATTTTGTTCTGGATTTCACATATGTTGTCTTCATTTTTTTAAAGATTTTTTTGTCATAGGGTACATGCTCTCACTGGAGAGACAAAGACAGACAGTGAGACAGAAAGTGAGAAATTTATTCCCTAGGGTGGATGACCATATTGCAACCCCTTCTCCTCTTAATGTTTTAGGCATACATCCGGACACACCCAGCTGAGTTTCAAACTCCTCGATCTGGGATTTGAACTACAGTCAGCCATGTGGGAGTCTAGTGACTTTACCATTACACCACCTTCTGGCCCTGTATTTATTTTTAATGGTAATTTTTCTTTCTTTTTTGTGGTTTGGTCAAATGGAAGGTGTGTCTTCAAGCTCAGAGACGCTTCATTCTGCATACTCTAATCTGTTTTTGATACTTCCTATGACATTTTATTAATTCCTTTCATTATATTCTTCATCTTGAGACATTGTGTTTAATACATTTTAGGGAGATTACAGTGGTTTAATTTTTGTTATTATAAATAATATCTCTTCTAATTTATTTTTAGAGATATTTTTGCTATGGAAAGCATGTGATCACTGGAGAGACATGGAAAGACAGAAAGTGAGAAATCACCACCCAAGGCGGAGGACATCCTCAATCCTTTCTCCTCCATTCTCATCTCAGGATCTTGGGAATGCACGCCTGCATGGTGTGAGTTTAAGTCCTCCTGGTCTGAACCGTGGTTGGCCATATGGTAGTTTAGCAATGCAATCATACACTATTTGCTGGTCCCCCAATTTTATAATTTCTCATTTAAGTTTAATTATTGTATATCTTTAGAAATATGACATGGTTTTTCAAAGCATGCATGCAGTATGGAATAATCAAACCAGGGATATTACCATATACATCATACTCAACAAAGAACTTTACATTCTTGTGTCTGTTCAGTGCTGTTTTCCTAAGTCCCTCCTCTCTCTCCACTAATCCATCCTCTCCTATACAGACTCTGGTACCTAACCTTGCCTTTTCTAATATAGTATCTTCAAATATTTTAATTTCTTATTTATTTATTTATTTATTTATTTGAGAGGTTTTTGCTATAGGGCATGTATGCTCACCAGAAAGACAGAGAAAGACAGAAAGCAAGAAATCATCCCCCGGGGGGATGGTCATGCCACAACCCCTTTTCCTCCATCCTTCTCTTGGGATCTTGAGCAAGCACGCACACACACCCAGTGTGAGTTTAAGTCACTGGGTCCAGGACTCGAACCGTGGTCAACTATATGGGAGTCCAGCAACATGGCCATTATGCCATTCTGCTGGTCCTAGAATCTTTTCATTTCTGCCATAAAGCACAGACATTTCATATATATTGTAAGAGGATATATAATGCTTGTTTCATAGTCTGGCTTTTTATACTTAGCATTAAATTTAGATTCAACTACTTCTTTTAAACAACAGAGTTTGTGTTCTTTATGGCTGAATTGCATCTCAAAGTGTGCAAGTGTCATATTTTCTCAATGCAGTCATCTATTATAGAGCACTTAGGTTGATTCAATGTCTTAGAAAATGTGAATAATGCTGCAATAAATATAAATGTACAAATGTCTTCCCAGTTCAGTTTTCTCCTATTCTTTGGTGAAAACCAAGGAGTGAGATTACTGGGTCATGTGGTAGCTATATTTGTCATTTTTGGGGCCCATCATATGACTTTTCACACTGACTATACATTCCCACCAACACTGTAGGAGAGTTCCTTTTCACAATAGCCTTCTAGCACTGTCATTCTTAATTTTTTTGAACATTACCATTCTGATTGGGATTAAATGATATCTCATTGTGGTTGTTACTTGCATTTTTTTATGATAAGAAGTATTGACTTTTGTTTCAATATGCTTTTTGCCATTATATCTTCCTTTAGAGTTGTCTGTTCAGCTTATTTGCCCATTTTAATTGGATTATTATTATTATTATTTTGTCAGGTGAGTCGCTTGAGTTTCCTCTATCAGTGGCTTATCACAGGGGTTTCCAAGCCCCAGGCCATCAGGTGTACTGTTCCATGGCCTTGTAGGAACTGGGCCACATAGCATGATGATTTTTATCTTACAGCATAAAGTAAGTGAGGGGGAAGTAATTGAAACTTCATCTGTATTTGCAGTTGCTTCACACCACTTACTTACATTACAGCTTGAGCTCCACCTCTTGTCAAATAAATGGTGGCATTAGATTCTCATAGGAGAGGAAACCTTATTGTGAACTATGCATGAAAGGAACTAGGTTGTGTGTTCTTATAAAACATCCCCCCAACAGTCCTGGGAAAAAGTGTTTTCCCCAAAACTGGTCCCTGGTTCCAAAAAAGGTTGGGAACACTGCTTTATATAAAACATAGTTTGCAAATATTATCTCCCATTCTGTGGGTTGTCTTGTCACTCTGTTTATTGTTTCCTTCGCTGTGTGGAAACTTTTAGGCCTGACCTATTCTCACGTGTCTATTTTGAGAATTATTGCCTGCCTTTTAGGGGTTCTATATAAATCTTTGCCTACACCAATATCTCAAGTGTTTACCCTATGTTTTCCACAACTAGTTTTTAGGCTTTACATTTAGATCATTGATCTATTTTGAGTTGATTTTTTTGTTAATAATGAAAGAGAAGAGCCTAGCTTTTTTCCTGCAGTTGGTGTCATGTTCTTTCAGAATCATTTGCAGAAAAGACTATTATTTTCTACTCTTGTGTTCTCAGTCAAAAATCAGTGTACTCTATGTCTTTTTTTGTTTGTTTTTGTTTTTGTTTGAGAGATTTTCACTGTAGGGCGCGTGCGCTCGCCAGACAGACAGAGAGAGACATAGAGACAGAAAGCGAGAAATCACCCCCCAGGGGGGATGGTCACGCCGCAATCCCTTCTCCTCCATTCTCCTCTCAGGATCTTGGGCACGCACGCACACGCGCCCGGCGTGAGTTTTAAGCCACCGGGTCCGGGACACGAACCGCGGTCGACTACGTGGGAGTCCAGCGACATAGCCATTACGCTAACTGCTGGTTCCCTGTACTCTATGTTTTGAGGTTTATTTCTGAATTCTGAATTCTTGGTCCATCCGTCTACGTGTCAATTTTTGTGTCAGTACCAAACTATTTTGATTATTATACCTTTGCAATATATTTTGAAGTCAGATATTGAGATGCCTCCAATGTCATTTTTTTCACAGTATTTATTTGATGACACAAGGTATTTTATTATTAAGACAAATATATACATATATATATATATACACACACACACAAACTCTATTGTGAACTATGCATGAAAGGGACTAGGTTGTGTGCAGTGATAAAACAACCCCCCTCAACAGTCCTGGGAAAAATTGTTTTCCCCAAAACTTGTCCCTGGTGCCACAAAAGGTTAGGACCACTGCCTTATATAAAGCATAGTTTGCATATATTATCTCTCAGTCTGTGGATTGTCTCGTCATGCTATTTATTGTTTCCTCTGCTGTGTGGAAGTTTTTTGGCCTGACTTAACAAACATGCACGCCCGGCGTGAGTTTTAAGACACCAGGTCCGGGACGTGAACCGCGGTAGACTACATGGGAGTCCAGCGACATAGCCATTACACTAACTGCTGGTTCCCTATATATATATAGTTTTTTGGAGACATTTTTGCTATAGAGAGAGACAGAGAGAGAGAAAGATGTAGAAAAAGAAACAGAAATCCTCCACAGGAAGATGACCATACTCCAATCCCTTATTCTTCATCCTCTTCTCCTATAGTCTAAAAATATTTCTGTGAATAATTCCACAGGTAATTTGCTTTCTATCTCTATTTCTCTCTGTCTTTTTGGCAAGTGCATGCGCACTATGGCAAAAACCACTCAAAAAAAAAAAAAGAAGAACAAAATGTTACTAACATCACCAAATTTCTCTCATTTACCTCACAATGATGTTACTACACCGTCCCTCAAAGGTAACCATTCTTTTTACTTCTAAAACAATATTTTTGTGTTGCCTGTTTTTGAGTTTTGTGTAATAAATCATGCAAACAGTATGGCTTTTATTCAACTCAGTATTGTGTATCTGAAATTCTTATCTATTTTTTATTTAGTTTTAATTCATTCTGACTAGTATTTAGTGTCTCATCATATGAAGTGCCATATTTTACCATATATGGACAATGGTTTGTTCCCCCTTGATAACCATGCTGAACGTGTTATCTGTAAATGCTTTTTAAAAAAATTATTATTATATGTAATTGGCAGACAATGCATGCACTTGCCAGAGAGAGACAGAGAGAGGGGGGTAAAGCAGAAAGCAGTCTCTAATGAGATGCCGTCATGCTGCGGTCTGTTCTCCTTTTCTCCATCCTGTTGGGACTTGAGGCACAGACATTCTCACCAAGAATGTTTCTTTAGTTGCTTGGGTTAGGATTAGAGCCATGGTCAGCCATGTGGGATCCAGCTTTCTTAACCATGAGGCCACAATAATGGCCTAGACTTTAAATGTTTATGATTATAAATTTATTAAACTTTTCTTTTAAGTATCTTTCACCACTTCTGGACTTCAAAAGTTTTTCTCCAATTGGGAACAGCAGTTAGTGTAATGGCTGTGTTGCTGGACTCCCACGTAGTCCACCGCGATTCAGGTCCTGGACCTGGTGGCTTAAACTCACGCTGGGCGTGTTTGCATGCGTGCCCAAGATCCGAAGAGGAGAATGGAGGAGAAGGGATTGTGGTGTGGCCATGCCCCCCGGGGGGGTGAGATTTCTCACTTTCTGTCTCTCTGTCTCTCTCTGTCTTTCCGGCAACTACACGCGCCCTATTGCAAAAACCTCTCCAAAAACAAACAAATAAACAAAAGATGCATATTTTATATATATCTTATATATTTACTCCATTATTATTATATTTTGACATTTGCATTAATTTTGAAATTAAAAAATAAAGTTTCATTACAATATATGGATTCTTCGTTTTTACTCAATTAACCCTAAATTAAATTGTAAACTTAGAAAAAGTGCACTACAGAAAACTAAAAAAATACAACACATTTACAATTATGTTTCATACTTTCTGATTTTTCTACTATCAATGAAGGGTAGCAATCCCAGCTATTTCTCAAATCAATTTATTTAGTTATTTATTTATTTAGGTTTTTACCATAGAGTGTGTGCCCTCACCAGAGAGAGCTAGAGAGAAGGAAAGCAAGATATCATTCCTTCCCAGAGAGTATAGTCATGTCACAATCCTCTTTTTTCTGCTTAGAATTTTGGGCACATATGCACATACACCCAGTGTGATTTTCAAGCCACCAGTTTCTGGACTCAAGCTGCAACCCACCGCATGGGAGTCTTGCACCTTAATAACCACATCATCAACTGCTGTCCCCTCAAATTAACTTTTTAATTTCAAACTGGTCATCAGACTCATAGCAACTAATTTAACCATAACTTACTAAATTTATCATTAATTAAATTTTATACTTAACAATTACATGATAGGCACAAGTTAATATGTGTATTAAATATACCCTTTGATTAGTACATTTTTATATGATTATTTTGCTATGTGAATGGACTTCTAATCCTCATTTATATCCCAGATGAATTTCAAGGGAAAATCTTTCATCTTCTTTTGGAATATCCTGTCAAACCTTTCATTCTGCTCCACGGTTAAGTGATTTTTCCAGTCTCCAACAATACCTAGTGGGATAAGCACATGAACAGCATATAGGTGAGGAAGCTGCATTATCAGGGAAAAGTTTCTCCCAATGATTTTTTTTTTTCAAAACCAAACTAAATATTTGTTAGTTCTCCATCAGGTTTGATACTCCACTTTTATTATACAGGAATGAGTCAAGAAAGAACCTTAAAATGCGGTAACACAGTATACAGATATATAGTACACTTCTCTATCTGTTAGACTTCCACCAACCACCACCATTCAATTGTTACCATTCTTTAGAAGGAACAAAACCTAACAGATTTAAATATGTCAGGATTTTTAAAAAATTTACTGTATGCCAGGTATCATACTACCAAACTGCATCTATTATGTAATGTAATTCTTAATACAATCATATTAGCTAGGTATTTGTACATATTTAAATGATAAAATGACAAGACCCAAAGCTTATCTCCATATAACAGGGGCATTGCAGAAAGACATCTACATCTGAGGTGCTCTGCTCATTTCTGGTACCAACGTGAGGGCTGAGCATCCCTGAGTTGCTACCCTCCCTTTCCAACTCACCTCCTCAGCCCATAGCTAGAAAGGTAGGAGAAAAAAATGTTTTTTTCTGTATTCTCAGGTTTTTTCTTTTTCTTCCTTTCTCTCTCACCTTTTTTTAAAAATTTATTTTTATTTTTATTTTATGTCAATTCCTTTTACACATTCAATCAAGTTATTTAGCTTGCAAAGTGAATATTCCAACATGTGTACATTTCTCACCAGTCCTGGTGACAATACTATGAAGTTTTCTTCAACAGATAATAACCCATTTCTTTGTCCCATAAATGCTTTGCTTCTCCATTTTTCTTCTTAATGTCCTTCCTCAGACTCTGCTCCTTCACCCACCCTTATCCCACACTGTATCTGGTATTCACAACCGTTTACTGTGTTTCTATATTATTTAGTCATTCAGTTTCAGTCATAGAGTGCAGACATTTGGTATATATTAAGTGAAAGTATATGATGTCTCTCCTTCACAGCCTGGCTTGCTTTACTCAGCAGTAAATCTTCCATATTCATCTACTTTCTGTCAAAGTCAGGGTCTTATTGTGTGTGTGTGTGTGTGTGTGTGTGTGTGTGTGTGTGTGCTTTTTGTTTTTTGTTTTTAATGGCTGAATAGTATTCCATAGAGTATATGTGCCACAGTTTTTCAATCCATTCATCTGCTCATGGTCATTTGGGGTGGAGGAGTAAAAAAAAAAAAAAAACACTCTCTAAGAATGACATACAAATAGTCAAAATGCATATGAAAATATGCTCGACATCCCACTTTGTAAGGGAGATGCATATCAAAACCACAATGAGATATCACCTAATCCCAGTCAGAATGACTAAAATTAATAAAACAAAAAATGATTAAGTGCTGACCAGAAAGCAAAAGAACTAAGAGAGATCTCAAGAAAGTCAACAGAAGCACTCGGAAACATTGCCTGGTACCATTAACAGTTCTGTCTAGCAGATAAGTAAAGAATATCTCTTCTTGACAGGCCCACAAGACTTTCAAATACAGGTACTTAAAGGCACAGGTAAATGGTGAGTCACTCAATTGACTCTGTAGCTTTGGTAGGCTTTTTAAGAGTCTAACCTGAAGTTTCTTATAAAAGGTTCCAGCAAAGTCAACAAAATCAATTAGTATTCTCATGGAGCTTTGTGCAAATAACAGACCAAATTGAGAGTAAATTTTTTTTTCAAATAAGTTAATTTGTGCCTCTTTGGTAAAAGGAAGAATGGAGAAAGAAAAACAAATGTTTCAGAAGAAAATTACAGTGCATTTATTACTAGATTTTAACCTTTGTCCATACCTGTTTTTCGAGTTTTTAGTATCTGCCTACTGTTTGAACAGAATCCTGATATTTTTCCTGGCTTTAAGTCTTAGGCAATTTTTTCTTAACATTGTTGGATTTTGACTTATTAAATCTAAAACTGCTTTTCTTCAAATTAAAAATATACATAAAAAGTATACCTATTGGGGAACGAACAGTTAGTGTAATGGCTATGTTGCGGTTTGCGTCTCAGACCCGGTGGCTTAAAACTCGTGCTGGGCGCGTGTGCGTGCATGCCCCAGACCTGTGTGTGCATGCACAAGATCCCAAGAGAAGAATGGAGGAGAGGGGATTGTGGCATGTCCATCCCCCTTGGGGGATGATTTCGCACTTTCTGTCTCTCTGTCTCTCTGGCGAGCGCACGTGCCCTATAGCAAAAACCTCTTAAAGAAATAGAAAAAAAAAGTATACCTATTTAATTACAGAAGTAAGCTATATATCCTCAGCCAGCTACTACTTTATAATATTTTCATTCTACTCACTGAGTTTTATGTCTAAAGTCAGACATGTGTTCATAAACAGGTTTTTATCCTCTGCACTTGCTATTAAAAATATTTAAGTTAATTAAGATCCTTGTAAATCAGCAAAATATAAAAAAACTATAAATAGCTATTAGGAATAATATCAATAATGGATTAATATTAACTAATATTAACCAATACTGACTTGTTAATCAATAATGTTAGTCAATATTTTTTTGAGAGGTTTTTGCTATATGGTACGTGTGCTCTCCAGAAAGACAGAGACAGAGAGACAGAAATAGAGAAGTCACCTCCCAGGCTGGATGGCCATACCACAATCCCTTCTCTTCCATTCTCCTCTTGAGATTTTGGGCATGCACGCACACGTGCCTGGTGTGAGTTTAAGCCACTGGGTCCGGGACTCAAATTGCAGTTGACTACCTGAGAGTCCAGCAACATAGCCATTATGTCAACTGCTGATCCCTCTTGTCAATATTATGGTATAATCATACAATCAAATTTATGTAGCAGTAAGATATATGTATGATATCTATGTATAAAAGTGCTAATGTATAAAATATCATTAAAGAAAAAATAATAAATAAAATTAATTTTTAAAAAGGCCCAATGATTTTCAACTAATGAAGTCTTGGTCACACAAGGTGCCAAATTTTCCAGAGCTGCTGTTTTCCTGGATAGAAGTTTGAAATCTCCATTATGCCATTTTTATAATGAAACCTAATAATTTGGTATCTTCAGCTATCATTTCTTCCTGTGTAAACATTATAATCAGTTTGAAACAGACAGTAAACTATTATGGATCTGAGCATTGAAATATATTTGAATTAGTTGAAGAATGAGAAAAGAGAATTGATACTAAATGAGATAAAATACAAATATTTTTTATTTTTAAGGAAGATTTTTGCTATAGGACTTGTGAGCTCACCAGAGAGAGAGAGACAGAGAGACAGAGCATGAGAAATCACCACCCGAGGGGATGGGGGTGGCCACGGTGCAATTCCTTCTCCTCCATTATCCTCTCAGTTTCTTGGGCATGCACGCACATGCACCTGGCATGAGTTTTAAGACACCAGGTCTGGGTCTCAAACTGTGGAAAACTATGTGAGAGTCCAGTGATGTAACCATTATGCAATCTGCTCCTCCCAAGAAATAAGAATTTTTAAAGAAAGTCAGTATCTAGAGCAATTTAAGTAGAATGTTTACATAGTTATTTAAACATCAATATCTATCATCATGGGACAGCCAGTGGCATGGTGGTTGTAACAGCTGTATATCACATGACTGTGCAGTTTGAATTTCAGAATTAGTAATCTGAAAAATACGATGAGTGGGTGTGTGTGTGTGCCCAAAATTCACAGAGCTGAATGGTGAAAGGATTCAGATTTGGTCATCCCCCATGGGAAGTGCTTTCTCACTTTCCCTTTCTCTGTCTCTCTCTGGCAAGCACACATACCATGTAGTAAATGTTTTTAAAAATCTATCTTCATAATGATAAAATATGAAAAGATTTTAGAATCAATTATGAGTAAAACAAAGACGTTCACATCATATTTTAAAAGAAATTATGTTAAAATAATTATATTTTTAAAAATTGGACTGAATGGGACCATCATTTGGTGTAATGGCTATGTCACTGGACTCCCATGTAGCCAACCACAGTTTGAGTCCTGGACCCAGTGGCTTAAACCCAAGCCTGACGCATGTGCATGTGTGCCCAATATCCCAAGAGGAGAATGGAGGAGAAGGGACTGCAGGGTGGCCATATCCTCTGAGAAGAGATTTTTCACTTTCTGTCTCTCTGTCTCTCTATCTTTCTGACGAGTGCACACACCCAATAGCAAAAACCTCTCAAAAAAATAAATAATAAAATAAAATAAACCACCTCTCAAAAAAAATAATAAAAATTTGGACTGAAAGGGTGTCAACTAGGAAGAAAATATACTCATTATTAACCAAAACACTGGGCATGTAATAACACAATAAATATTTATTGAATATTTTTGCATAATTTAATTCATAGTAGAGTGGGTTAATGCAATCACTCTACTTTTGTGGTGAGGAATCTAAACCTCTTACTGCATAATGAAACACATACTAAGATGTCCTCCTTGAATACTCCAGGAGAAATAAAGGCAAAGAATTAGAGTAATTCCTGGTCACATATATTCATTCTTTCAGGCAAGACTTGTTAATAGTTTGAAAAAGTAGGATCATGTTGCCTATAAGGAAGAAATCTACTTGTTAAGCATGTGCAGTTGTCAGGCTTTGTATCTAAATAATACATTTCCAGTGAAATATTCAGGGTTGATGGGCACTTTCAGTTAGATACTCTGTAGGTCCCATCAGATGTCAGTATCTCTTAAAGAGTCATACTGGAGGAATTACATGTTCCTTCTAGGGCCCAACGACTTGCACATCCATGTTTACTGCAGCAATATTCACAATTGCTAAGACATGGAATCAACCCAAATGTCCAAAAACAGGTGAATGGACTGAAAAAGTGTGGCATGTATATACTATGGAATACGACTCAGGTATAAAAAATAATGAGGCCTTGGCATTTGATCAAAAGAGGATGAATATGGAAGATGTAATGCTAAACGAAGCATACCAGACTATGGAAGAAAAGCATGTATGCCCCCACTTACTACATGCTGTCTGTACTCTACTAGAAACTGAGATTGGAAGGTATAAAAGCACGGAGAGCAACTATGGATACCAGAGACAGTATGGGAAAGGTGTGAGAAATGGGGGGTGGGGAGAGGGAGACAGTTAAGGGTGGGTTGGGGGAAGCAAAACATTTAACAGATAAAAAATTGAAAAATTATCTGTTGATAGTGTGTATGACAATTTCTTTGACTAACATATAGTATATTGGTGCTGAGAAATTTATTTTTCAATATTTTAAAGATATATAGTGATTGAATGTTAAAAAATAAGAATAAAAAAAATAAGATGTTTTTTTTATAAAGCACAGAGCATCACCTTTGCGCAGGAAATATCCCTCACTTCTTTTCCCAATTTCATTTTGTAGAATTTTATCATAATTTGCTTTTGAATCAAGTTTCATGTTTGGAAATGTAGCCTGTCTCACAATAGCATCCACATCCTCTTCACTCAGGTCTTTCTCAAGAAACTTGCAGATTTTAAGCACAGAACTTCTGAGATCCTGAAAGAGTTGTGATTATAAGAAATTGCTCAACATATAAGGAACGATGTGTTACAGAGTAACATATACCATAATCAAGTAGTATTTATTTCTAAAATGCAGAAAGGGTTCACCATATGAAAATGAAGGCAATATACCACTAGAACATAATGAAGGGTAAACAATCTGACATGATCAACCCAATTGATGCTGAAAGAAGTGAAAAAGCATAAATGGAATAATATTTCACATTCACTAACTGGAAGATAATCACTTTTGGAAGACAATCTTAAAAATCTATATTCTTGGGGCCGGAAGGTGGTGTGGTGATTAAGGTGCTGGACTCTCACATGACCCACTGCTGTTCAAGTCCCAGACCAGGCAACTTTTTTCTCACTTTCTGTCTCACTAGCTCTGTCTCTCATGAATGCATGTATACTATAAGAAATTAAATAATAATAATAATAATTTTAAAAACTATATTCTCTCCATTCTCAATGATTCCACTCCCATTCATTATTTGAAGTAGGCTAACACACTGGTCTCTTAACTGGTCTGTTCTGTTTATAGTCACTATTTTTACTTTCAAACCCACTAATGGGAATGATTTTTTAAATTATTTTATTTAACTTTATTTATTTATTTATTTTAATTTGACTAGAGAGGGACAGAGTGAGAGAGAGAGAGAGAAAGTGAGAAAGCAAGCCCCCAGGTCCAGGACTTGAACCACGGTCGGCCATGTGGGAGTACAACACCTTTAACCACCACATCACTTGCCGGCCCCAGGAATGATGTTCTAAAAGTATTATTTTATTATAACACTGCCATCTCCTAACCCTTAAAGTGTTCCCTATTCTCTTAATTTTTTATCACTCTTACTTTGCTCTTTAAATTCTCCCTTCAGTTATTCTAAGGGATCATCATTTTATAGCCTCGGAAAACTTGTACATTACCTTAACTGGCTTAAAATATATTGGTTCCAGTGCTTCATTATGTCCTCTTACAAGGTATGCCTGATTAACCTCAACCTTTGAGGTTGCTTTTGTTACTACAGATGATTTCACAAGAAGGTATCAGAGAGATGGGTTTGTATAGTGAGAAAAGAGCTCCGAGTAAGTCTAGTAATTAATGGGTGGGTAAGAAAGTCGAACCCCCAAAGAAAAAAACTTGAGAAGGAGATGTTAGGTATGAGGACAACTAAGAGAAGGTGGTTAGCTGAAACCAGGGTTGGGGGGAAGAGCTTTCGAAGAATTATCTTTACAAAAATAACCTTCTCAACTTACCTTATTCATTTCTTCATACATCATGAAAAGAATATTGAAGTCATGTCTGTGTTCATACCAGCCTCTGATGTGATCAAACCAAACACTTCCTACCACTATGGGGAAAATTACAAGGTAAAGATATTGTGCTTATAGTGGAGCAAAATATATTCTTTATTTTCTGTTTTGGAATATTCAAAATAAAACCAATAATTTTCATCACTGGACATCTATATTATCATTTCAAAATAGTTAGTGCTTGGGAACGATCACACAATGTTAATAAAAACCTACCTATGCAAAGATATGGACATAGGAAAACCTCAATGTAGAAAGGAGATCAAATATCAAAGTTTGAAGATGTCTTTAAGTAAGTCCCTTCATTTTCCTACCTCAACCACTTAAAAATGTGTCTCTCTTTCTTTTCTTATTCTTTAAGATCTCTGGATACAAACATTAGCTATCTACAATAAGACAGACTCTGGCTGTAATCTAAATGAATGAGAGCCTGATTCCACAGTCCACAAGCTTCTTGCATCAATCAATCATTCTCAGTAATGAAAAGAAAAATGCCACAGATGTCATATAAGGCCTTCCAAGATCCTTGACAGAGCACACAAACTCACTTTGAACATTTGTTATTCTGGAATATATGGCTCTACCTGTGGATGTAGCTAGTCTGAATTGCTAGAATACTTGTGGTCCTCTTATGGTCTGGTAAAAATGTTTGCTGAACAATATGCTTTAATAAATTTGACAATTCTCAAATGGTCCAGGTAAGGATAGAAAAGTCATAGACCAGCAGATTAAGTTGATCTACAATACAATAGTAACGATTTATGTGTGTTCTACTATTATTGCTCTTCTTCCTCTCTCCAAAATATGTTCTTTAGGTTTGAGAATTTGGTTAAATGACAGCATCATCTAAAAAATATGTTGCTTATTAAGTAAATTCATAGTTACCTTTTCCATCTAGAAATTTTTTCATGAAACGTTCTATGGTATCTGAAGCTTCTAACAGAGCCACCATATTAGAAAAATGAAAATATGAATTCAAAATATCCTTAGGGTTTCTGTAGACATACACAATCTGGGGGGAGAATCATGAAATCATGTTAACAATTTTCAGTTATCCTTACAGGTTTCTTTTTTTAAAACTACGTAATACTTCATTACATAAATACATAGTAACTTTATTTTAATCAAATGTTCTTTGCAAGTATGTAGGATGCATTTCTTTTTTAAAAAAATAATTTTTTAAATTTAGATTTTTGCTATAGGGCATGTGCACTAGCCAGAGAGACGGAGGTAGATGGTGAGGGGAAAAGTGATAAATCGTTCCTCTCCTCCAGGAGTAATGACCATGCTGCAATCCCTTCTCCTCCATTCTCCTCCTGAAATTTTGGGCATGTATGCACACACACCTGGCATGAGTTTCAAGCTACCAGGTTCAGGATTTGAACTGCAGTTGGCTATGTGGATGTCTAGCACCTTAACCACTGTGCCACCTACTGGCCCCTAGGATGCATTTCTAAAAATGAAATTGGTAAAGTTGATAATGACTTCAAATTATTTTACGTAGAGGCTGTAGAGTTTATCTCCCATGAGCACTATATGATATTTAATATATTGACAAGGTAACATTGGAGATAAGTAAAAAAAGAACTACTTATGATAGTGAATAAATAGTTTTCCATATGTTAAAAGAAACAAATATTTTAATCTTGTACCATACACAAAAATTATGTACAGATGAATTTAGGATACAAATATTAAATAAAACTTTGATATTGAAAAATTTTAAAAATCTTATGATCATGGAGTAGTCAAGGATTTCTTAGATATGCAAAATCTGTTAAAAATAAAAATTGATCAATTTGACCTCATGAAAGTTATAAAATTATAAAAAGCCACAAAAGTATGAAATCAGCAACATATGTAAGCAATAGTAGATTAATATCCAAAATATTTATATAGCAAATGAATAAAAAAAATACAATAGTGAAATGAAATACAGGGACCAGCAGTTAGCGTAATGGCTATGTTGCTGAACTCCCATGTAGCTGACCAAGGTTTGAGTCCAGGACCTGGTGGCTTAAACTCAGGCCAGGCATGTATACATGCATGTCCAAGATCCTGAGAGGAGAATGGAGAAGGGATTGTGGCATGGCCATCCTCCCTGGGGGGTGATTTCTCACTTTCTATCTCTCTGTCTCTCTCTGTCTTTCTAGTGAGCACACATGCCCTGTAGCAAAAACCTCTCCAAAAAGAAAAGAAATGAAATACAATAATGAAAAATTGTAAGATCTAATTGCTTTACACACTGAGAAGTAATTATGGCCAATAACCAGACTAAATTCCTTCCTGACCCCTCTGTAATTGAAAAATATTTGGGAGTATTCTTATTTTGTGGCAGAAGGATTATTTACACAAATTCAATAATGCTTGGGAATCAGAAATTGGAAATATTCAGGGCTTTGACTGGAATGTCCTATCTTAAGATTAATCAGAAAACCATGGAACTAAGGTGAATCTCAAGTAAGCCAACAGAAGCTCTTAGAAAGACGATCTGACACCCTGAATAGTTCTGCCTGCAGAGAGGATTAGAGAAGACATATGAAAGAATTTATAACATAAAATAACCTGAACTGTGGGACCAGACCAGCAGTTAGTGTAATGGCTATGTTGCTAGACTCACATGTAGTCGACCGTGGTTCACGTCCTGGACCTGGTGGCTTAAAACTCAGGCCGAGCGCATGTGTGTGCATGCCCAAGATCCTGAGAAGACAATGGAGAAGGGATTGCGGCGTGGCCATCGCCCCTGTGGAGTAATTTCTCGCTTTCTGTCTCTCTCTCTCTCTGTCTGGGCATCCCCCCCAAAGAAAAAAAAAAAAAAAAAAAAAAAAAAACCTCTCCCCCCACAAAAATAAATAAATAAATAACCTGGACTCTTCCAGTCCAGCATTGTAATCGGTGGCGATTAAAAGAGCAACCACACCAGAGGATTATCTTGAGAAAGACTTTGAAGGAAGAAAAAGAGACTGATCTTTGCTAGCAGATGGTGTCTCACGGAATATTTGGTAGGCAGGGCTGAATTTAGAAGGTTTATGTGTGACTTGTTCACTGGGCATTTGCTTTTCAATAATTTGAGTCATTGACATGCAAATATTTTCTCAAAAATATTTAAAACCTTACTGTCTCTGTTGTTATAGAGTCACAAACAAAATTATACAAAGGTATGAGAAATATTTTTAATGTTATCTTTAAAATTCAGTATTCTGAAATTTTGAAAATTGTTTATGAACTGTCAAGAACTAGGGAGTAGGAGCTAACATTTTTTGATATGTAAAGTTAATGTGGAAAAATGTAAAAATAAATTAATTAATAAAAATATCAGACTAAAAAGTACCTAATCTCATTATTTATTATGTATATGCAAATTAGATTAGTTTGAGATACCATTTATAACAACAACTTTGACAAGAATTAAAAAATCTGATACCAAAGAATTACTAGAATAAAGATGAGAAATCATTTGTCATTTATTTCAGCATAAACTGATGCTGTTAAAAATTTGCTCTCTTAGTCTAGCAGGTGGCATGGTAGTTAATGTGCCAGACTCCCACATAGTTGACCATGGTTACAGTCCTGAACCCTGCAGCTTGAAACTCATACCCGGTATATGTGTGTGCTTGCCCAAAATCCCAGGATAAGAATGGAGGAGAAGGAATTGTGACATAGCCATCCCTCCTAGAGGGTGATTTCTCACTTTCCCTCTCACTGTCTCTGTCTCTCCAGTGACCACACACACTCTATCGCAAAATCTTTTCTTAAAAAAATTGTTCTCTTATGAAACTATAGCACAATCTTTAAAGTTGAACATTCTTGGACTATGGCTTTGCAGTCCTCAACCTGGCAGTTTGAAAAACACACCAGGTGTGTGTGTGTGTGTGTGTGTGTGTGTGTGTCCAAGTTCTCGAAAAGAGAATGGAGGAAAAGGTATTGTGGTATGTCCATTCTCCCTGGGCAGTTATTTCTTACTGCCCCCCAGAGTCTTTGTCTCTGTCACTCCAGCTTGCATTTATACCCTATGGCAAAAACCTAAAAAAAATGAAATTATATGTCCCAATAGGAATGAACTTTATGTGCTAATATTATATATGCTATTAATTACATTGCAAAAATATGTGTGATGACCCAGCCTATGAATGTACTTGTAATTCCATATCTATTTGTAATGTGCAAAACAATATCATAAAGATATAATAATCAAAACATTTGAAAGAATGTGAATGAGTGCGGAAGTGGGGCTAGAGAACAACACTAGGAAAAATTGTTTTCTGTTAATTTCTGTTATAGAGTATGTGTGCTAACCAAAGAGAGTGAGAAATCAAACCCCTCTCCCTCCACAAGGGGAATGGCCATGCCTCAAGCTCCTTTCCCCAACACACACCCCCACTCTGCCCCATCCTGGGCACAAATGCATGCACATACACCCAGCATGCCTCCCAGACCTAGGGGACTTCAATCACATAGCCAGCCAGGTAGGACTCACTTGCCCTACCATGCCTCCCGCTAGCCCAGAAAATGACATGTTATCTAAGGAAAAGTTCTTAAACTATTTCTATGACATACCTTGACTTTTTTGTTCTTGAAACCTTTTGGTGCTAAAAAATATGGAATATGGGAACAGAAGAGGCGAGGAGATGGTCTTTTGGAAAAGTCTACATTGCGAATGTTGTATTCAAGGAAGGGGGCTCTGTCAAGGGTTTCCAAATTTTCAGTACTATTTCGATGTCCCTCAAAATAAATCAAGCTTAGTATCTGCTGAGTCCAGATGGTACCTGTAAAATAAATAATTTTCCTTCAAACCCCTAAATTGATTTTTAATAATAAATACAAATAATAAATTAATTTCTAATTTTTTTTAAAAATAGTAGATTCGCCTATCTTAAAATCATTTGGATTTTTTCTTTTAAACTTAATATATTTTAATGAGTTTTTCTAATTTTTGTGTGTTTACCTTTGTCTATATTTTACATTAAAATGAATAAAGATAAAAATCAAGGACTCAATTCATTTTTCACTTTGAAGGATTTCAATTTTTCTGATTCCATGATAGTGGTGATTCAGATTAATTCTAGGTCTCTTCTGTATTTCTTGTACTTCATATAAGGTTCTTTTTACATTGTTTTTTTTGAGGTACTTTCTCATTCCAGAGACTCTTTCCTTACTTTTTATAAATAGACAAATTAAGCCCTTAAGACTCAAATGTCTCTTCAAAACAAGGTGAAAGTGTGTTCAGTTTCTTCTCCTCATGATTATTATTATTAGTAGTAGTAGTAGTAGTAGTAGTTTTTGGAGAGGTTTTCTCTATAGGGCACGTGCGCTCGCCAGACAGACAGAGAGAGACATAGAGACAGAAAGCGAGAAATCACTCCCCAGGGGGGATGGCCATGCCTCAATCCCTTCTCCTCCATTCTCCTCTCAGGATCTTGGGCATGCACGCACCCGTGCCCGGCATGAGTTTTAAGCCACTGGGTCCGGGACGTGAACCACGGTCGACTACGTGGGAGTCCAGAGACATAGCCATTACGCTAACTGCTGGTTCCCCTCCTCATTATTTTTCACACCATTCGGTGACTCTACCTCATAAATTTTTTTATAATAATTTTGCAAGGATAGCTCTTAACACATAGTATGAGGAAAGAGAACAAAAATTCCACTCTTGTGTTAATTCTTGGTCTCGACTAGTGAAATCTGGTCACTGGCTTTGTAAGTATTTGGGAAATTCATGTGAATGTTCTAAAGAATTCCATTTTCATTTAAAATGAACCCGGATGTGATAAACAATAATAGTATTAAAGTTTGACCCATTTTGTTAATTATGATTCTGAAGATTTATGAATTATAATGTAGACCTAACACCCTTCAACTATCCCAAGAAATAGGCTTTCTTTGGAGCTGAGCCAGTCATTTGGAAGAAAATAGTTGTCCCAGAGAATCACAGCCTCCAGAACTGGCAAAGAAAGATTTTGATATTGTCTATATCTGATCACAAGCACCTATCACCCACTCCAATCTTAGCATAGGACTCCAAAAGCACTTCACAACCTGTTGCTGACTATTGGGTCCTTTGGTGGCCATACTGGGTGGGACACCACATGAGGATGCTTGCTTTGCACTACTCTCATCGCCAAGGCTTATTACTGTTGGGAGCATGCACTTAGGCCATGCTATCAGGGCTAGAGTTGGAAAGGTTATGGATACACATCATCAAGAAACTGAATTGATTCTTTATCTCCACAAAATAAGCAATGACCTTAAATACTGCTACAATTATCAGTATCTCGATGTGATCACACAGTAGTAAACTGTAATTCACCTGAGACTAACTCATCTGTCTGATCAAAATACCAAAGAGGAGCTTTCAAAGGGTCAGGATCCATGAAGATGATAATTATTGTTAGGGGAGAAATTTTCGAAGAAAACCCATGTAAACATAAAGCACACATTGTCTGCTGCACATAGCAAATAAAATACTTTCTCTCTGACACATATCCTGACATCTGTCAGCATCGCTGAAACAATAGGAAATTCTATAATATATTAAGCTTTCTAAAGATGTAAGGAAAAAACAAACTTGAAATAAATAAAGTAATATGTTTGGGAAACATCTTTATTTACTCTTAGACCAAATTTTGTATGACTAACTTTACTTTGGTGTTCTAGGATAGCTACACTATGAATAGGTAAAAAAGAAAAATGGGGGCTGGTAGGTGGCATGGTGATTAAGGATGCTGGACTCCCATGTGGCCAATCTCAGTTCAAGTCCTGAATCTGGTGGCTTGCTTTATCACTTTCTCTCTCTCTCTCTCTCTCTCTCTTCTCCTCTCTCTCACTCTGTCCGTCTCATCATGACTTCATGGTGTGCACATTTGAAACCTGCTCCTGCTTGTAGAGTCTATAACCCATTCAACTCATATGTAATCATGTATCTGTTAATTAAGTTTTCCCCTTGCCCCCACTTACTCCCACTTTCTAGCTTCTGATATCTAACATCACACTCTCTGTTTTTATGATGGCATTGCACATTGTATACATGTTTTGGAAAGACCACATGCTACCCCACAATGGTGTACAACTATTACATGTAAACTACAAATTACATAAAAATTGAAATTAAAAAATCATGAGGCTGCTGGTGGCAGAGTGGTAAAATGTGGCACTTTGGAAGCTGACCCATGTGGGAGGCTCCAGATTCCAATGAGGAGACCTCCCTGAGCATGCTAGGCATAAGCATACACATGATCTGGGGCTAGCTGAGGCTACAGTAAATCATGGCATCAGGACCGTTAAGAGTTCTTGCTCTCTCTCTTCTCTCTCTTTCTCTCTCCCTCTCTCTTGCTTGTGGAAGATAAGATAATCTCTCATGAAAGAAATATATAAACATTAAGAATTTCATTTGAAATCTTACCAACTCCTGTTTAATCTTTTATTATGCATCAATCACTAAAATGTCAAAAGAAGCCTTCCAAGTTTCACCCTCTGATGAAGTAAGAGTCACCACTATGAAAGACCTTTCAGTGCCTTCTGCAGCCCACCAGGATTGTGTTTCACCATGTATTTGTACTGATGGCTTTTACAAACAAAAAAACAAACAAAAAAAACCCCCAAACAAACAAACAGCCAATGGTGTAGTGATTAAGGTGGTTGGATCCCACATGGCCAACTGGAAAATTTGAGTCCTGGACCCAGCAGCTTGAAAAAATACCCAGCGCATGTGCATGTGTGCCTCAAATCCCAAAATGAGTAAAAAATGGAGAAAGGATTGTGACACGACTGTCCCCCAAGGGGGGGGGGGGAAGGTGCTTGCTTTCGTTCATTCTCTCTCTCTCTCATATTTCTTCTGTCAAATTAAAAATAAAGATTTTCAGTGGACTCTATTGATCAAGGACTTTCAAGAGAATTTTTTCTTTTTTCTTTTCTTTTGGAGAGGTTTTTGCTATAGGGCGTGTGGCTTGCCAGAAAGACAGAGAGAGAGAGACAGAAAGTGAGAAATCACCCCCTGGGGGATGGCCATGCCGCAGTCCCTTCTCCTCCATTCTCCTCTAGGGATCTTGGGCATGCACGCACACGCGCCTGGCTTGAGTCCAAGCCACTGGGTCAGGGAATCAAACTGCAGTAGACCACATGGGAGTTCAGTGACATGGCCATTACACCAACTGCTGGTCCCTCAAGAGAATCTTAAACTGGAATTCAGCTCCCATGGAATGCTTCCCTTCAAAAAGGAAATCTACTAGAAAGTTAATCCTCATTGCAGATAAAGCCTCTATCTAATGAAGCATTTTCAATTAGAAGAAAGAAAGATTTTGAATGGTCTAAGACCTGTCATGAGGTAAACAATATATTTTCCAGAGCAAGAACAAAAGACTAGCCTGGGAAATCCAGACATCTCCTATTCCCGTATTGAATAATTGACTTTAATGAATTATATTCACAAAATGGATTATAGACCAGTCATATTCTAAAACCATAATACCATCCTTAGACAATACCATAAATAAAAAAGCCTCTTTCCTCATATAGACTTCTGATCACTGACATAACTATTTCTCTGCATTATCACTCCTAATGCCACATTAGTCCATAGAGTCCATGGAAGTCATCAGGCTGCAAGTTATCACTCATCACTGAAGGACGGGGCCTACTCCAGGTGCATGTGTGTTCAGTCTATTCACCAAACTTTACATGTCAAAAAAGGCTGTAGCGGTAACAGCTGCATAGAACTACTGCTTCCTGGAGTTAATTCTTTAAAGGCCCCAAATAACTCTTGTGCTTTAGCAATCATGAGGAAAATCTCACTCACGGCGATTTTCCTCCTGGTGTATAGATGCACTGATCCCTCTGGAACCATAATATAATTCTTCATCCAACTCCCCTGCCTTTCAAGCTCAAGAGCTAATTAAAGTTGATTTGTTACATACAAGATGCGCACATCCATACCAAGGAATTATCTATTACCCCATATGCAGGAAGCACTAAAATAAGAAATAGATAAATGGACGATGACCCCAAATGGTAGAGAATCCTCCCCAGTCACAAGGTGCTCTCATTATGCCTCAGTCAAAGAAAGTTCCTTTTTCTCCCTAGTTATTGAGTTGTTTCTGTTTAAATGGATGCTAAGTTTGTGTTTGTTTTCACCATAGGGTACATGAGCTCACCGAGTGTGACAGAGACAGAGAAGGAAAGTGAGACATTACCCACTAGGAGGGATGGCCAAGCCACAACCTCTTCTCCTCCACTACCCTCTCAGGATTTGTGGCGTGCACAAACACCCTCATATGATTTTTAATCCATCGGGTCCAGAACTTAAACTGTGCTGTCAGTCATGTGGGAATCCAGCTGCCTTAACTATCAGGTCACCGGCTGTCTCCAGTGCTGTTTTCAAGCATGCTTATTGTGCATGTATTATACCGGCTTTTTCCTATACCCTAGTAATATGAACAAACTTCATTAATATATTTTTGTACCATTCTTGAGTCCTGAAATAAACCTACTTTGGTAATGGTGTTTTTTGTTTGATTTTTTTTCCATATTCTATGATGTGATTAGCTTATATTTGGCTTAGATTTTTTTTTTGCAAATTTTGAGAAAGTTTTAAAAGTATGTGACATGCAAAACAAATCTTGTAACTATTACTGCTCAAATTATTTAAGTACATTTTATAGTGAACTCTGGGGGAAACTTGCTAATATCCCGTTCAAGATAAGCAAGAACACAGAAGGCTAAATTGAGGACCGATGTGTGATGTCCTAGAGATCTGGGCTAGAGGCAAAGCATTAATGGGACAAATAAATGTGGTATTATTTGTTGAAGATAATTTTATAGTTTTATCAACTAGACAAGGGAGAAATATTCACAAGTTGGAGTATTCACTTTGTAAGCTAAATAATGTGAATTAATGTATAAAATAAAATAAAATATAAAATGAAATAAAATGAGTAAGGGAAAGACTTTTTGTAGACTATAGTGCTTGACCTAAAACTAAAACTGAGACGCTCCAAACATCTTAGAAAGGAAAAAAAAAAGTTTCAGTTTTTGCTGAATCACCCACCTGATAAAGTTTTCAAAATGGAACAATCCACATACAAGAAAATGTGTTAAAAACTTAAGAAAATATTGAAGTTGGCAGGTGGTGTGGTGGTTAAGGCACTGAACTCCCACATGAGTGACCGTGGTTTGAGTCCCAGACCTGGTAATTTGCTTTTTCACTTTCTTTCTCTGTCTCACTCTGGTCAAATTAAATAATAATAATAATAATACCTAAAATTAAACATATTATTCTTTAAATTTTTTAAAGAAAATATAAAAGGTTATTTATTTCAAAGTAGAAGGATGAAGCATTTTCACAACAACAAGGAATTTTATTGACTTAGATTCCAGTGTATCTTCGAGCAACATTAATCACTCCATACAAAATTGTTTCAATAACAATCCTATGTTCGAACAAAGCAGATTCAGAAAATCAACTTCCTTTTGGAACGTTAGATTTGAGTACAATTTATTTGGTTAAAAATTATTTCATTATTATAGAGAAATGTAAGGAAGTCAGTGTAATTGAAAAGCACATGAGGAATTACTTCTGAAATAGCCTGCCAACCAAAGTCTAGGTGATGTTTTGAATATATTAGGTCATTAGGAAAGTCATGGTGTGTTTTTCTATGTAAAAACACACCATAACTTTCCCAGTGACCCAATATTTTCTTGTAGAATCAAAAGAAGCCAACAGGTCAGCATTTAACAAAGATCTGCCTTTGGCTCAATATTTTATTTCTTCATATTTGCCATCAGAAATTACAGCACATGTATTGCAAATGGTTTTCTAGCATACAGATTTGAGTTTCATTTAGCTATTTTCTCATGGGAAATGGTAATCTACAATGTCGATTTTGCTGCTATGGATGTCTAGAACAAGGAACACTGGTACATGTGCATTACCAAACGTAAGCATCAGATGGCCCCCTTCTCAAACTTACCAGATTTTGGATATGTGATTACAAAGACATCATCATCTCTAACTTCAAAATTTTCTAGATTTTCTAGCAGGTCAGTATCAACTAAATCACGCTGAAAATTATAGCCTTTAAAGTTCAAAATAGTGGTGTCTTCGTTTTCCATAATTTTTCACCTATAAGTAAAAACAGCAAAATTCTTTTCACATTTTTAGTATTTACAACAATAATTAATAATTATTGAATGCTGCCTATTTACCATTTATACTTATATGTATTAACTTTCTTACCATACTAAAAACCTTATATTCATTAAATAATTTAGATTTTATGGTGACCCAGTATTATGTAGTTATTATTATTATCATTATTAATATTTTAAAGATGAGAAAACTGAGATACCAAGAGGTTAAATAACTTTTCCTGAAATCCTACCAGGAAAGGAATATTATAATTCCAAACTTACAAATGAGGATATTAAGAACAGAAGGTAAAGTAAGTTATTCAAGATTACCCAGACAGCAAAGATGGGTAGATTTGATGACAGGTAATTCAAGCACAAGGTTCAAGTTTTTATTGTGGTTTCTTAGTATTTTGTATTTTTATGCCTTACATTTATATTGTTATAGAAATAGGAAGCTTTTCATAACATGCTTTTATTTATATTTTTTCTTCTATTTTCTTTTTAGAGTACAAATAAACCTGTTTCTAGAAGAAGTTTTTGAGGTTTTGGAATTTGATACACGTACAAATGAATCATGGAAAATGCTCTGCATGAGTAACACCAATCTGTTTCATTGTGTTAATATTGCCTGTATATCATAAGACACAATATACAGGATAACCTATAATAATTTTTATAATTTCCAATTAAAGTTTTATTTATTTATTTGGAAATTTTTTTCTATGGGGTGCCTGCACTTGCCAGAAAGACAGAAAGAGAAATCACCCCCCCCCCAGGGGGGTTGGCCAAGCCATAATTCCTTCTTCTCCATTGTCCTCTTGGGATTTAGGGCAGGTGCACACTTGCCCTGCGTGAATTTGGGGACTCAAACCGTGGTTGACTACACGGGGCGTAAACACTATGTCATCTGCTGATCTCAAAGGCTCATTTTTTTAATCCTAAATATAATATGAACCTAAAGAAGAAAGTCAAAATAAATATGAACAGTGAACAAGTTTAAGAACTATCCTTTCAAAATGTAAACCAGACAAGAATTTCTATTAGATTTGCCTATGAAATCTTTCTTGAATGTTAAATAGATCAGAATATCCCATGAGTTCTAATAATGTAGATATATAATCAGTCTACTGCTCTTTTATTTTTGTCTATGCTGAGATTGAATTTTTTAAAAAGCTCAAGTATGTCTTTGTTTAAATCACATGTCAAGGGACCAGCAGGCATGGGGGTTGAGGTGCTGGACTCCCACATGGCCCACCGCAGTTCAACTCCCAGGTCTGGCAGCATGCTTTCTTAATTTCTCTCTCTTTCTGTCTCTCTCTGGTCAAATTTTAAAAATAACAATAATAATAAATAAAATTAAATAAAATAATTCTAAAAAAATAAATTGTATATCAAGAAATATTTAGCTCTTTTACAAGTAATCTAAGTCACTTGATCAACAAAAGAAAAACAGAGAAAATCAGGGGCCATACAGTAATGCAGAGGTAAAACGTGATACTGTGTGAGGCAGTTCCACAGGGGAAGGTTCCTGGTTCGAGTCTAGAGATCTCCCCTCCTGGCTGAGGGTAAAGTTAGACTGCAGTATTCTATTACTCGTGAAAGAAATAAACTTTAGAATGATTAGAAAATCACCTACATTACTATCACATTGGTTTTTGAGTAAAATGTCATGCTCCTAAATCCTGTACCAGACTGGCAGGATCAGAATTTCTGAGGACTATAATCTAGAAAAGTGGATTTTACCAACTCTTTAATTCATACAAAACAAAATTAGTGATAAAGCATTATCTTCCTTTTGGATGATGTTTAATCTCAACCTCCAGAAAAATCTCTGTGGGATATTATTGACCGCCATTTAAAAGATCCAGTTAAGGTGTAACTAAACTACTAGAGGGTTCCTCACTATGAGCTGAAATCCAGGCAATCTGGACTATTGAGAATTCAGGACAGAATAGCTGGACTATTGAAGTGCAAAGAATGATTTCTTTTTTCTTTCTTTTTTTTTTTTCTAGAGTTTTTTTTGCTATAAAGCGCATACGTTCACCAGATAGACAGAGACAAAGAGACAGAAAGTGAGAAATCACCCCCCAGGGGGGATGGCCACGCTGCAATCCCTTCTCCTCCATTCTCCTCTCAGGATCTTGGGCACGCACGCACACGCACCTGGCATGAGTTTAAGTCACTGGGTCCAGGACTCAAACTGCGGTCAACTACATGGGAGCCTAGCAACATAGCCATTATGCCTACTGCTGGTCCCAGAATGATTTTAATAGAGGTAGAGAGAGAGAGAGAGTTCTTTTGAGATCATCATCACAAATTTTCCAGGGAAAACTTTTTTGAGAACTCAACTTTTGGAGTGTGGAGAAGGAGCATTTATATGTCTAACATGAACACATGGGGAAGTCCATAATTAAGAATATAGTTGGAACAAAAGTCAGGGACAAAGAGTGAATTTCTATCACACCTTCCTAACAATCCACAGTAACAACCACACATGCCCTCCCAAAGTCTTCATGGATTATAGAATCTACAGGCTGAAGACAGAGAAAAGAGTTTCAAGCCTCTATAAATATTCTGCCTGCACATCAAACTTTTTTTCTTCCTCTAATCAATTGGTTTGTCTTTTACAGTCTTGGGAGAAAAGGAATGCTGTGAGTTGTGTCACAGAAGCAAGAGAGAAGTAATGGGTTGTGAGGTGGACTCACGTAGGATAAAATCTCAACATTGGGAAGCTACAGGTTGTTTGCATCTTTTTGCTGAACATAGGAGAAAGTGATTGTATAAACAGAAAGGGTGTCTGTCTCCTTCTTATTCTATCATTAAAGACCAAAAGAAGAGGAAATATAAAAGATTAGAGAGAGACAAAGCAGATACACGTGTTATGCAGAAAAGAGAGTGAGACTGGACAGAGACTCCAGGTCTGCACTTGTATTACTCACTGTTGCAGACCAGCAGATGAAGCAAAAGCACCTGTGAAGCAATTTTCCGGGTAATGGGGAGAGAGATGCTGTGGAGAAATAAGTAGTGCCTACAGAGTTTGCTTTAGCCAATGAATTACGTTCTAAGAATTAGCAAATAACTCAGTTTGGATAAGCTGAGTAATATTTTGTTGACATTAGTAAAAGCATAACAGATTATTCTAGAAACATTCAAAAGGTCAAACCTTTTAGAGATATTAAGAGAACTGCATGTAAGCAGTAGTTTTATTTACTTATTCTGGCAATTATAAAACAAACAACAAAGTGTATTTGAAAGCTATATCAACAACTTTCTTTGGCATAAGTGATAGCAAGTAAAGTGACTTAGACCTGTTTCAAGTGACTGCTGTTTATTGTTCGGGTCTTTTTTCACATTGTTTTGTCTTCTTGTCGTACCCTTAGTCACCTGATTTGTGAAATTGGCTATCACTATGAAAGGTTTCAGAGGCCTTATAAACTGAGTATGCAAATTCATTTTTTAAATTTTTTATTTACTTATTTTTTTCAGAGAGTTTTACTATAGGGCACATACGCTCATGAGAAAGACATGAAAAAGAGACAGACAGCGAGAAATCACCCCCAAAGGAGGATGGCCATGCCGCAATCTCTTTTCCTCCATTCTCCTCTTGAAATTTGGGGAATGCACACACATGTGCCTGGCATGAGTTTTAAACTGCCAAGTCTGGGACTTGAACTGTGGTTGGCTGCATGGGAGTCCAACAATGTAATTATTATGCTATCTGCTGGTCCCCACAAATTCATTTTTTGACGGCAAAGGTCAAATTATCTAAATGATAGTCTTTCAATACTTTTTTTAAAAGTAGATGGTACTGATATTCAGGCTGTCCTTTTTGTATCCTATAATTAATATTTGAATTGGTATTGTCTCAGGCTTATTTAACATCTCTTCCAGACTGTTTTATTTAACTTTATTAAGAATTATTTTTATTTATTTAATTTTAAAAATTACTATTACATATTTTTAAATTTTTCTATAGGTCATGTTTGCTTATGAGAGAGAGACAGAGAGAGAGAGAGAGGGAGAAAGCAAGCAGCCAGGTCTGGGTCTCAAACTATGTTCAACTATGTGGGAGTTCAAAGACCTCACCTCCCCCCTATCACCTGCAGGCCCCTCCTCTTGACTTTTACCAAGACTTTTCACCCGTTTTCCATCTTCTGTTGCTTAATCTTAATAACAGCTTTATTAATGATTCATAGGTTTCCACTACAAACAAAACTTGACCCAGATGATACTTTAATCCTTTCAATGTACCAATCTTCACTGATAAAAACGTAAATTTTAATCTGAAGTAATTGAAACGTGCAGATATTCAGCTGGTGTCTTATTTCTCACAATGTTTGTATTTAAGACACTAATCCATTTTATGAGGGTGAAATAGCATGTAAAGTCCAACTCAATGGGAGATCACTTATTAAAATATCTAACTCAGCTAAGGGTTTTGGTTTCATAACACACATTTTCAGTGAACTGAATTCTTTAGGTATTTTTGAGATGCTTATGATCTCTTCCCCCTTATCTCTCTTTCTGTGTCTCTGTCTCTGTCTGTCTGTTTTGCTGAGTGATTTTTCAGCTATGAAACTTCTAGACCCTCTGTATAACACCTGAATGAATAAAATAGCACTGCATCCATGACTAAAGGCATGTTTCAGCTTCCTAATTTACATACCAAACAGTGATATGGCACATCTGAGAACTAAGAGGAATCAGGAGAAAAGACCTACTGCAGAGGTGTGCAAGGAAAGTACCAAAAGGCAGCCTGGAAATAGTGTACCAGAGAGCAAAGAAGTACACAAATACTTAAGACATGTCAAAAGAGCACTAGAGCCAGCTTAGAGGTAGTGTATCTGGTCAGTTCAGGGACAATTTAAACATAAAATAAATAATCACTATGTAGATCACATCCTTTTGAATAAAATAAGAAAATATAAGCCTATACTAAGGGCAGGCAAACATTACTGATAAAGAAACAGAAGCTGACATTTTATGACTTTG